GACAATTGATTTTGAAAGGCTCCGGTGTTCCAAAGCACTCGAACCCCCCGGGGGGCTACAAAAGTTGATTTTGAAACTCCCAAGGAGCCCCGCGGATTCAAACACATTCTCTCCTTGGATAGAGGCCTCCTAGATGGGGTCGGAGTAGATGGGGACGGAGGATCGCGCCGCATCACCGATGCATCGGCGCCATCGGCGATGCATCGGCGACGTCGGCGTGGAGAAAATCGGGCTCCGCATCGAGCCGCATCGCCGATGCATCGGCGATGCGGAGCGATCCTCCGACCCCATCTACTCGGACCCCATCTAGGAGGCCTAGATTGGAATGAAGATTGATTTTGATGGCTCCAAGTGTTGAAAAACGGCTTCCCTGGACCCGAAGAAATGAATCCGAACCCTTCCGCACGGCCTGTGCGCGAGAATCTGATTCAGAACGGCCAATTGTCTCCGAGTGGTTTTCTTACCTGGGGGACCGTCAAGATCAATTTTTCGGTCCCCTGGACAGCCATTTGAGCACTCAGAGCTCCCGGGGACAGTTAACACGAACTTTAGGGTCCCCTGGAAAGCATTTTTTACCACCTGGAGCTCCGGGGGACCCTCCAATCAACTTTTCGACCCCTGGGACAGTGGAAGTGTAGTGGGGACGAGTGGAAAGGACGCAAGACTCTTAAGACCCTTGGAGGCCGGCGGGCGACCAATGAAAACGGCGACTACGACGACGACGAACTTAGAATCCCCGGGAAGGAGGAAGTGGAGGAGGAGGAGGAGGAGGAGGAGGAGGAGGGGTAGGAGGGGGAGGAGGAGCAGGAGCGGGAAAAGGAGGAGCTCTTCGGTCGGTGACTCCGTCACATGCGGGACGAGGAGGAGGAGGAGGAGAAGGAGGAGGACGAGGAGGAGGATGAGGAGGAGATGGAGGAGGTCCTAGTTGGCGGAACGACGGGCGGGAATCGAAAGGTAAGCACAGGGGGCGCCGCGAGGCACCCCACTGGCATCTCTCCACCGCTCGGTTGCAGGACACCGGTCCTGGCCAGGCTGGCCCTGGCCCAGCAAGGCTGGTGGTGTGTCCGCCTCCCTCGCCAAGGGAGGAGGGCGTACAAGCACCGGTCCTGGGCCCAAGAGGTGGGCATGGCCAAGGTCGGTGTACGCCGATCTTGAAGCATCCGTTACAGTCAAAAACCCTAATAAGGACGCGCGGTGAGGACGCAAGACCCTTGGAAGCCGAAGTTGGGATTTTTTGGGCGGCGGGCGACGAAAACCTCAAGCACACAAGAGCAAGGAAGAGCAAGGACGCAAGGGTACCCTGAGCAAGTCGCGCGTTCTTATTATGGTTTTTGACTGTAAGATCGAATTTCTTAACTAGGATTTTCTGTGAGAGCGCCCCTGAAACATACGCAGTAGTAGTCGCTTGTGGTCGTAGTCGCAATCGTAATCGTCGTAGTCGTCGTCGTGGCGCGGCGAGTATGCCGCGGGTGGTTGATTCTTGTCCGCTTCTGGTGGGGCCTCAGTCAGTCAATGAGGTCGCTGAACAAATAGTTTCCACTGTTGGGGGGGGGTTCTAAAGACCCACCTGGGTTAGCCTGGGGGAGCGAAAAGGCACCGATACCCCTACTCTCCATACCTCTCCCGACCAGAATTTCGAGGCGGATCCAGCCGTGGCGACGAGGGCCTCCCAGGGGGCCCAAACAGGCGGAAGCGAGGGAGATGCAGCGGGATCGGAGCCTCTTCCTCCTCTGATAGCTGGCGCCCTCCGGTGGTGGTCTCGGTGGTCGTGGCGCCACGGAAGTTGGCGCCCCCGCAGGTGCAGCTCCTGCCCCGCTCCCAGGGCCAGCCGCCCGGGCAGGCGCACTCCACCGTCTCGGTGCCCTGCCCCGAGGGGTCCTGCTGGGTCAGGAAGAACGTCATCGCCTCGCCTGCGCCCGTGGGGCAGCCCTGGGGGAGCAGGAAACGTCACGCAGCAGACGCACACGGGACGACATCCTGCCACGAGACACCTTGGGGCACACTCCTCGTCGATCTTGGAGCCTCCTGCTGCGCCCCAGAGCCTCTGTGGGTCAGTGGGCCCATCGTGAGGCAGGACACTTCCATGGGGCACCCGCTGGCAGGCCGATGACATGCGCCCACTGTCGGGCCGCTGACATAAGGAAGGCTGCCGGAAGGCCGAAGCCCCTTTGAGGCCCCAACACCACCGTCGTTCACACGAGGAACAGCCATGGAAGGACCGGAAGAACACCCAGCCCCTTCCGAACCCAAGCTGTTCCTGATTTCACCGCCCTGACTGTACTGTGAGCACGAACTCTCGGAAGTTCGCGAGGGACTCTTGGATCGGCGCTGGGCCCTCCTGGCGGCGCCTCCGGCGCAGCACCCCCGGCGCGCCTCGCGAGCCAGGGGAGGGAGGCCCAACGCAGGTCCAGGAAATCCGCGTGGACCTTCCTCTCCTCCTCCTCCTCCTGCTCCTCCTCCTCCTCCTCCTTAACGTTTGTGCTCATGGCGCTTTCTCTTCTGGAGGGACCTGCCATGCCTGCCCGCTGAGGCGCTGCATCTCGCGGCAGTTCGACGTGCCTTCTCCCAGGCACCCCTTCACCGAGAGCAGGGTGCCCCACCCGCCGATGTTGTTGAACACAAGCTTGCAGAAATGGGCGTTCTCCTCCTCTAGGCTGGTCACCGACGGGGGGGACTGGATGGCCTCGCACTCCACCTCCTCGAACTCAATCGCGAATTCGCCAGTTGCGGCGCCCGTGATGGCCTCGAACGCCTCGGGGAAACAATCGAATCGACCGGCGCCAGTGATGCCGCTGGTGCTAACTGTCACAACGGCCTCGGACATGGTGCCAGGCACGACGGAGTCGCCGGTCCAGCCGTCATTGCTGGTGGATCTGACTCTGTAGCAAGCGCCGCAACGTTCGCCGTTGCCATATGCTGGGGACTCCGTGCCGATGGAACAATGCAAACCCTGCATGAGGTACGGGGAGAGAACTGTGCCGGTTGTGCTGCTGATGGGATCCTGCAATGTGGTTCTTGGAAACAATATGGCAGTTTTTCGTTTATATCTGAAAGCGTATCCAAGAATTCCCCAAACAGTGTCTGCATGCTTGCACTCAGGGGTTCTTTTGTCTGCCCTGAGGAAGTCGGCCTCACTGCTGGTCTATGTTGCCGCCGTCGCCGCCCCGTCGCCGCCTCGTCACCGTCCGTCGTTGGGGCCTGTCTGCCGGTCTGGTGACTATGTTGCCGCCGTCGCCGCCCCGTCGCCGCCTCTTCGCCACCCGTCGTCTGGGCCTGTCTGCGGGTCTGGCGGCTATGTTGCCGCCGTCGCCGCCCTGTCGCCGCCTCTTTGCCGGCCGTCGTCTGGGCCTGTCTGCCGATCTGGCGGCTATGTTGCCGCCGTTGCCGCCCCGTCGCCGCCTCGTCGCCGCCCGTCGTCTGGGCCTGTCTGCCGGTCTGGCGGCTATGTTGCACAATATAGATTACTAAACCTACGCTGCACCACGTAGATTTACACATATCTGTACATACATGCAGCATGCATGCATGTATGTATGTGCATTGCACGAGAAAGACTGCACAACATATATTGCACAGCATCACCATATATCTATTCATGTCGCAGCCCATGTAGGCTGCAACACGTAGGTTGCACGTCGTAGTGTGCAACGCATCAGTTTCGCGCCATATATTTATATATATATATAAATATGTATACTGCAATTTCAACATTGCACACTATAGACTGCACCACATCAAGACATCACCACACACTTGTATGCCATAGCTTCACTTAGATTGCACCATGCACAGTGCACCATATCAACTGCACAACATAAATAGTTCCACGTACGTGTGACACCACATCGATTGCACAACATATACTGCACCACGCACATTGCATCATACATCTAAACGCATATACAACGACACACACATATCTATATATACATACACATATATATATATATATATATATAGCACAATATATTTGTCCTCAAACGGTAGTCGGATCTACGTCCCCCCAAACTTAACGTCCCTTTTTCTTCGTATTGCAATTTGCTAATGACGCTGCCCCAACGTCCATCTAAACTACTAACTCATAACATCCCAGCCGAACCCGTCTCGCCCCCTCCCTGTCCTCTGCAAAAATCGTATGCGCGCGCACTCGCTTATCAAATTCATAATTTCTCAAAAACCCAGTGCACAAACAAAACGGGCCGAAGTGCTTTCGCGCGCGCATCATCGCATTCGCATGCCACCACATTTCAACGGCCGTACGTTTCGTAATAATTGCAAAACCGAATGTCCCGAACACATACCAAAACACATGGTTTCGCAAACGAACTTCCCCAACTCAAACCTGCTCCCGCGCTCTTGCGAAGTTTCAAAAGAAACCATCCGGCAACATGTTCGTAACTTGCGACAAAACCGGCCTCTCGCGCGCGCTATTCCAAATCGTTCGAATGCCTTTGCGCGCGTGCTGTCGCAAGAATCCCTTGCAATAGAAAAGGGCCGAAGTGCACACGCGCGCGTCGTCGCGCGCGCATGCCGGACTCCCTCAAAAACCTTGGATTTCGCAGGGATGTTGAAATCGAGTGCCCCGACAAAATGTAAGCAACACGGGGTTTTCCAGCATCAGTTGTCGAAAAAAACAGCGGTCGCGTTCCTGCGAAGATCCTCAAGCAAACCGTCAGATTTTCAACATTTTCATGACATTCAGCCAAGCGGGCGGGCCTCTCGCGCCGCATTCCAAAATCATTCGGGCGCCCTTGCGCGCGTCCTGGGGGCAACGGGGGAGGGGGCGATCCGTGTCAAATCATACCGCGCGGGCCACTCTCGCGCGCCAGCCGCGCGCGCATGTCGAACTCCCTTCAAAACCTTCATCGCCGACGCGAAGACGCCATCATCGTCGTCGGCGAGATCAGCATCGGCGCCGTCATTGGCCTTGCCGTCGTCGTTGTCACCACCGCCACCAGCATCGCCACCATCATCATTGTGTCTACCGTTGTCGACGTTGCCATGATACCGCGCCCGCCCAAGTCGCCGACTAGCACCGAAGTGCCCGCTGGGAAGTGCCCGGCGGTCAGCGCCACCGCTGTCGCGTCGGTCGCGCCAAACTAGCTGGCCGCTGCGTGCGCGAGCATGCGCGGGCTTGCTCGGCCGCAGCGATGCGCCAGCCAGCGCCGAGCAGACATCGCAGTGGCCGCTGCATGGGTTTTGCAAATCAAGTTGCGGGTGGGTGGGTGGGATGGTTTCGCGAGCAGTGGAATTGACAACTTCAAATTCGGCAGGGTGATTTCTCCTTTCTATGACAATAATAAAAGCAATCCCCCCAAAGGATTCGCAGTTCGCCTTTCCGTCGTGCAATTTACTTATGATTCTGCCCCATCACCAATCGTTCATATGAAATCGTACCACCCCAAGCAAGCCGGTATCGCCCCCCCTCATCCTTTGCAAAAGAACAATATGCGCGCGCACCCGTCTACCAAACATCAACAGTTTTCACACATCCGTTCTAACAAATGAGACGAAATGCACACGCGCGCGTCGACGCGCGCGCATGCCACAATTTTTCAACAAACACCAGGTTTCGCAAGGGTTGCGAAACCGAGTGTCATGCATAGATAGGAGAACGGGGGGCGTCGGAACAATAAGTTTCAAGAGAAAGAGTTTGCGCCCGCGCTCTTGCGATTTCATGTAAAAACATATGTCCAACATGTTCACGCCATGCTACCAAGCGGGCCTCTCGCGCGCGCATGTGGAAATTGCTCGAACGCCCCTGCGAGCGTGCTGTCGCAAGTGTCCCTTGCAAAGTTCAAAATCGAATGTCCCGAAACATAGAAAACACACGTGGCTTTGCAACGCCAGTTCTCCTGAGAAAGCCAACGTTCGCCTTTTTTCATGTAAAATTGGAGGGGGGGCGATCCGTATGAAAAAAATCATGCGGACCAGTCTCGTGCGACGGCCGCGCGCGCATGTCAAACTTCCTTCAAAACCTTCATCGCCGACGCGGAGGCGCCATCATGGTCGTCGGCGTGATCAGCATCGGCGCCGTCATTGGCCTTGCCGTCGTCGATGTCATCATCGCCACCAACATCGCCACCATCATCATTGTGTCTACCGTTGTCGACGTTGTCATGATACCGCGCCCGCCCAAGTCGCCAACACTGAAATGCGCGCTGGGAAGTGCCAAGCGCCACCGCGGCCGCGTCGGTCGCACCAAACCAGCTGATGCGGTCGCAGAGATGCACCAGCCAACACCAAGCACTCAACTCATCGCAATCGCCGCCGCATGGGCTTATGCAAGCCAAGTTGCGGGTAGGTGGGTGGGATGATTGCGCGAGCATCGGAGTTGACAACTCAGTGCCAAGATAATTTCATGAATTGCATAACACAAGCGTCACCACATATATTGCACCGCATATAGTGCACTCCGTAGATGACACAACATGTATGTGTGTGTATGTACAGATATACACAAACTTTATGGCACCCCGCATATACACGTTGCACGACGTACTGCACCACATAGATGTCCCTACCTATGTTGCACCACGTAGGTTGCACCTTAACAATTGATACAACAAATATTTTCGGTCCACGCTGGCTACCGTCTTGATCTTGAGAAGAGAAGCGAATCGACCAAACCAACGGTTCGCCGAAACGGAAAAAACGGCTCCGGGACTGACACTGGAGCCGGATCCCCCCAAAAACACGGCGACGGAACCAGACAAACAAGTGAAGCCGGAGCCAGGGAGAGCACGCGGCACAAACGAGAACTGAGAAAAACTGCCTCGCCGTTTCCAAGAACCACTGGAGTCCTTCATGAACTCGCACGAGCCGTCCACAGGGGTTGCGCTCACAGACAACCATGTCGTCAACGTGCCGCTCTGCGCTATGCCAGACGCCGGGGCCGCCAGTGCGAGGCTGGCCGCGACGATGGCGGAACGGCCCATAGTGAAGTGAGAGCCAGGGGACCACTGACACGGGGGCCGGCTGGGCGACGACTTTGGGAACAGAAAAACCACCCTCATCATAAACACCCTGGCAAGCGAAGCCGTTTAGTAAATGCATCCAGGGAAGGAATCGAACAGAACATGGCTGTTTAGCAAAAGCCAAGGACCTGTTAGTAAACGCCAATTACGGGAGTCGGGGTGGTTTTTCCTGCCTTGAGGCTTGGGGAACAGGCGATCCTGGGCTTCGAGGTCCAGAGACGGCGATGGCTTGGGCCAAAACTGTCACTAATGACGGAAACGGTGCTTCTGCCAATCGTTTTGATAATAATGGCAATCAAATGGGTGACGATGACAGTGACAATCGTATGGCGGCTCGCGCAGCAAGAGCCGCACGCCTCGAAAGGCCCAAATGAATACGTGACCAAGCGTCACAAAAAGGAACGGTGCGCAATATCACTTCGACTGGCAACACTAATGGCTCAATTTATCTCAACCCGCGTACGGGCCAGAACCACATCAATCCTTGCAAACATCGTTTAGCAAACAATGCCTCATGAATGACCCGCTCGACGCAATCCTCCGCTACAGAGTAACACGAAATCAACGGAACGCATTGGAAACCATAAGAAGAATACATATCTCGACCGTTGGGAAAAAACAAGGTCAACAACATTACCCGGACACCCGAAAACATAGTGGACCGTGTGCCGCATTCTTCTTAATCCTGTCAAAACGATGAGTGTCAGCAAAGTGGATGCTAACACTGCCTGTGCTAGGTAACGTTGGAATCTTGTCGAAACCTGGCGCAATCGTGCACTGTCAGCAAATGCGCGCTGGCGTTTGCATCAGAGAACTGACCTGGGGATCGCAACAACGCAATTCCGTTTCGTCCCACAACCAATTGCGCCAGATTGCGTTACACCTGCCGCTGGAGCTGATCAGCTCTCTCATCCAATTCAGATGTCACAGACATGATGCAGCTGTAGGTCGGAAGTAGCGGGTAGCATTGCGGCGTTTCAGCAAACAGCACTGCCTGTGGACAGCAAGACGATCTGCTCAATATCGTACATGCTATGGCACGTGATCAAGAAAGACACTACAGTCAACCCGTATAATAAAGATGCGCGGTAAAGTTGCAAGGGCCTTGGAAGGCCATGACGACACTTTTGCGAGCGGGGCGCGGCCAGCGAAACGAAAGCGGTCAAGGATGGCCCGAGGAAGCAAGGATGGAAGGGTTTTCTTGGGAAGGCTGCCCGTCCTATGCGGGTTGACTGCAGAGGCCTGGTACGCCACTAGTTTAGGGGAACGAGCAGCGACCAAAACATAAAAACTCCGAGGTCCGCGCGGATTTCTCGGATCTGCGCTGGACCCCCCTCCCTGGCGCGCGGAGCGCGCCAGGGTCGGCGCCGGACGCGCCGCCAGGGGAGCCCCAACGCGGATCCGGGAACTCCGCGCGGACCTCCGAGTTTATATGTTTATGTCGTTCTTAGTTCCCATAATTATGTAGAGGCCGGATACGCCACTGCTTGCACTTCGGACTTCATCAGGTGTACAGTGGAGGCCAGTCCACAAGAAACCTTCCACAAGAAACCCAACCCTGAGACCCCAGAACGTCCACTGATTTTTGGTGTGGGAACGTCACGTTCTCCATGGCAAAGCCATCGAAGCCAAGAAACCCAGGGCACCCTGGAGGCAGTCGGGGTGTTGCTTGGCACGGGCCCCCACTGTAACGCAGGCTGGAACTACGGGGCCCAGCGACCACATCTCCTGCATCGGCTGCTGTACTTCGGTCGGTGGGGATGGCAGGCCGCGGCGAACCCGTCCGCAATTTTTGCAGCCCGGCACGCGAAGTCCTGGCTCTAGCGCGAGGGACAGTCGATGGACAAGACATTCGAACCCTTGCACACTCCAGGGAGATTCTCAAGCACCCCCACCAGACGAGCGCGTTGAGCTACTCGCAGAATAGCTGCTCGCAAACGGCCTGGATCCGCCATGGGGGATTTGCGATCCACTAAATCGATGCGGACAATTGTTTGTTGTTGTTGTTCCGGACGTTTGCGAGTAGGCGCTTTGCGAATAGTGAAACGCGCTCGGTGACCCACGCCCCCGACATCAATGTTGATCTCAATATGGCGGTGCTTTGGGGGCTCGAATATTTCTGTCCACTCACGCCCCCTCCGTCGCCACGCCATCAATATCAAGTCCGGTGGGTCTGGGGGGCATCATGAGCCACATGGTTAGAATGCAATGTCCATGTGCGGGAGCGGGAGGAACGAACGTGCTCAAAAAAGTGGGCCAGTTTGTCGGCAAGTAGATTACGAAACGCTGGCCTGGCCTTTCGGGAGGAGGCTTCTGAATCCTATGCTCGACCGCACTGTTCTTCTGATCGCTCTGGCCCTGCAAGTCGAAGCGCTTTCTCTTTTTTGAACACCTTCGCTCCTCCTTCCCGCCCCCCCTTCAATTTGCGCAGGGCGTCCCCAGAGGTCCCTGGCAAAACCTCTGGAGACGCCCAGGAGGTCGGCCGAGGGCATCAGGCCTCGCTCCCCCGAAGCCCATGGTGCTCGCGAGAGCTTCGCCAGGCGGGTCCCCTCGCCCAGGCAGTGCCAAAAGGGGACGCCACGGGGTGTGTGGGGGGGTCGCCACACGCCTCGAGGGAACAGGCCCCCCTGGACCCCCGAGAACCTTCCAGGAACTCACTCCTCCCTTCCTCCTCCCTCCTCCCTCTTCCCTCCTCCCTCCTTCGCCCTCCGCCCTCCGCCCTCCGCCCTCCTCCCTCCTCCCTCCTCCCACATCCCTTTCCCTCCTCCCTGTCCCTCTTCCTCCTCCTCCTCCTCCCCCTTCTTCTTCTTCTCCTCCTCCTTCTCCTCCTCCTCCTCCTTCTAAACGTCCAGAACCTCCTCCACCCCCAGAACGAGGTGGTGATCCCCCTGGTGGTGTCTTCCCCTCTGCACTGCCCGATCCAACTCTGGACGGACAATTCCTTCCGCACCCGAAGACGGCCCCACATGCCGAAGTGACGGAAAATGGTTGGATCGGTGGAGGACTGCTGACAGAAGGGGACCAAGGGTCTTGGTGGAAACGGGCCCGGGGCGGCATGTCTGATCCAGGGCCCCGGGAGGGCCCCGGGAGACCGAACACGAAGAGAACCTTCAGGACCCCTTTCCTCCAAGACCCCGTCCCAATGCATCCGACGTAGTTTTTTTTTTTTTTTTTGTTTTTTTTTTTTTCTCGTTTTTTCGCTCCGCACCTCAAGAAACATCGACCCTGTCCCGTGGGACCAGGCCACGCGCCAGCCCCGCGGGGGAGGAGTCTGAGCCTCGTCGTCGCTGCCGCCGCAGCCGCCGTCGTCCTCTCCTCCTCCTCCTCCTCCTCCTCCTCCTCCTCCTTTTCCTCCTCTTCCTCCTCCTCCTCCTCCTCCTCCTCCTCCTCCTCCTCCTCCTCCTCCTCCTCCTCCCACCTCGACCCCCGTTCCCATCCCCGAGTGATTTCTTGCGCGGCCCTTGGGCCTGGACAGGGCCCTCGGGGCCCGAACTCCCGCAGCAAAGCGCTAGGACGGAAGGCGCGCGGACATCCGCCCGGGGTCTGAGCAGGGACCGACCGCCCTGGTATTCCTATAGTCCGACCACGACATGTTTTCAGAACCGAAGCGTGCTCTAATAAGCATGAAATCAGTGTCCTCGGAACATTCGCCCGATGTGAGAAAACGAGACAGTGCCAGCCATAAGTGTTCTGAGAACATTTCGCCCAAACCACAAAAGGTTCTCAGCGCATTGTCTGGTAGGGCTACAGTTAAGTCGGGCCTGCCCCCCATGCAGGGGGATCTTTGATAAAAATACACCAACAATAGCGAAACAAACAATCCAAACATATTACGGGGACTATTTTTTTGGTTTTTGTTTGACCTTTTCGGTGTATTTTTGGTGTATCTTTAATTTTTTTCGTCGAAGATCCCCCTGTGGGGGGGCACGCCCAACGCAAGGCTACAAGCGAACCAACACGCTTCGCCACTGTTCGCCACTGCTTGAGGGCTCCGGGCGCCCTCCTCGCGCCGGCGCGGCGGAGGGGCCCGCCGGAGGCGCCGCCGCGAGAGGGTGGCTCCAAGGGGGGCGGCCTTCACGACGGAGGCGGAGCTTCAGAGCAGAGGAGGAGGAGGAGGAGGAGGAGGAGGAGGAGGAGGAGGAGGAGGAGGAGAGATGAGAGGAGGAGAAAGAGGAGCAAGAGGAGGAGGGAGGATGGGAGTAGGAGGAGGAGAAGGAGGAAGAAGAGGAGAGGAGGAGGAAGAGGAGGAGGAAGAGGAGATGAGGAGTAGGAGCAGGAGGGAGAGGGGGGACAGGGAGAGGGAGGTGGGGGAGGAGAAGGAGGAGGAGCAGAGGAGGAGGAGGGGAGAGGAAAGGAGGAAGGAGAGGAGGAGAAGGAGGAGGAGAGGAGGAGGAGGAGAAGAGGAGGAGGAGGAGGAGGAGAGGGGAGGAGAGGAGGAGGAGGAGGAGAGGAGGAGGAGGAATGAGGAGGAGGAGGAGGGGGGAGAGAGGAGGAAGAAGAGGAGAGGGGGAAAAGAGAGAGGAGGAGGAGGAATAGGAGAGAGGAGGGGGAGGGAGAGGAGGGGATGGGGAGGGAGGGGGAGGAGGAGGAGGAGAGGGGAGAGGAGGATGAAGGAGGAGGAGGCGAAGACAAGGGGGGGAAAAAAAGGAAAAAAGAGGGAGAGGAGGAGAAGGAAGAGGAGAGAAGAGGAAGGGAGGGGAGGAGGAGGAAGAGGAGGAGGAGGAGGAGGGGGAAGGAGGAGGAGGAGGGGGAGGGGATAGGGGAGGAGGAGAGAGGAGGAGGAGGAGGAGAGAGAGAGAGGAGGGAGGGGAAAAGGGAGGAGGAGGAGGAGA